AGATATTTACAGTCAGATCACATTATGTTACTTCCACAGAAATGAATCATCTTTATTTCTTCCTCATTCCAAATGCGAAAGTCCCACTCAGAACTGTCATTTCATGGAACAAACTCCTGCATGGATGTTTTCTCTATTGCCTTTGTTGGCAAACAACCTAAGAGAAGGAAAACTCTGAATTCAAAAGCTGAGTAGAGTTGTTTGGAGAAAATGTGGTTATATGTGCAGGGGAAACCAGTTGTCCAATTCTGAGAAACTGGAGCTAAGTTGAAAATGATGTGAGAGTGGTTACAGAACACTTTTTGGTTGAAGTGCAAAAGGAAAACATCACAAGGTACTAATTAAAAGGGGATACATACTTTTGCACATGCCAAATTTTCATTTTGGGGGAAATAAATGCCTTTTTTTTATTTCATTATTTTAAAAGTCTACAAATAGTTGTTTGGATACATATTTAATTTTTGCTTATTTGAAATCTTTTTGCAGTAACAGAGATCATGATTTGGGTGGTTGAGAAACTTTCAATCGACATTGTATCATTGATCTGGGGCTAAACTTCATGTCTTGGTGGATGCAGCACACACAAAAAAAGAAGCTTTTTGTCCATTAATCAAACTCTTCAGTTGATGAGTCTCTATTATTTTAAATATTTACCAAATGTAAAACAAATGAATTTTGCATACATAAATTAATCTGATGAAGCATCAAATAAAGGTTTACAGAAAGTGGAAAAATTTACCCAGAAATCATTTATTTCTGTCTTTAAATATTCAGGCAATGTGTAGCAAATGTATCTCTCATTAAGTTAGTGACCCATTTCTGGTAAATTTCTATCACTTAAAATCATTAATGACTTTGCCGCCCTCACTGTCAAAATTCTGGTAAGTGAGTGCAGAACTTTTAACACACACACAAACACACACATCCAAGCAAGTTTGTATTTAATCAAACCTGTTTGTTTGGATGAATACTAACTGCCTAAACATACTATATATATATATATATATATATATATATATATATATATATATATATATATATATATATATATATATATATATATATACCCCACTTTTCTGTTTATAAATACTAACAAAAAATAAAAGCTCTACATTTACCTCAGAGGACAAAACATGTAGTAAAGAAAAAGTTTTCCCTTTGTGATTATATATATATGTATATATATATATATATATATATATATATATATATATATATATATATATATATATATATATATGATTTAGTTGAACTGTGTTTCATTTTGTGATCGTCAGGGACTCTGACGATCACAAAAGCGTGAAACCCAGGGTTACAAACTCACATCAATCCAACCAAATATGTTAGCTCTATCTCTGATATTGAGTGCTTTCTAATAAGTACCACGCATATAATATATAAATAATTATATATATATATATATATATTTATTTATTTTATATATATACACACTTTTCATATATATATATGTATGTATGTATGCATGTATATTTAATCACAAAGAAAAAACTTTTCTTTATAACATATATATATATATATATATATATATATATATATATCCATATATCTGTTATCTGTTGACATAGCCATTAGGTGAATTTTGATCTGAAATATTCACTGTATAATGTTCCATTGATATGATTAATGGATAAACATTGGATTATGTTTACAGAAAAAGAAGCAGATTATATTGTAAATTATTTTTTGTGCTAATGATTTTACAATCATTAGGCTACACACTTATTGATTTATGTACATAATATACTCTTATTTGTTTTTTTCTTGCCCAAACCTAAATTTTTGACAATGGTAAACTACAATGCCAAATAAAAGAGTTTTAATCAAATTTGGACACTTCCTTTAGAAATTCTCACAGAAGTGGAAATTTGATAAAAGGAATTTTTGTATAAGAAAATTCTAGATTCATAAACAGAAGAAACAATTGAGAGGAGATCATTTTTAATAAGATCAACAACATGAATGAGAAATGCTCTTTTTCAACCAAATTATCTCTCTATCTCAGTCTATTTATATCTATCTATCTATCTATCTATCTATCTATCTATCTATCTATCTGTTCATATCTTTCTCTCTCTCCCTCTCTCTCTATCTATCTATCCCAGTGTTCATATCTATCTATCTATCTAGATTACATATATAGATATATAGATTAATCTGTTTCTTGAATATAAATTTCTATTTTGATAAATATATATATGTATACATTTATATATAGATATAAATATAAATACACATTTATACATATATATGTATACATTTCATATAAAGATAGATTAATCTGTTTATTGTATATAAATTTTTATTCTGATATATATATATATATATATATATATATATATGTGTGTGTGTGTATATACATTTATTGGTATATGCTTAAATATATTATGAAGGTGTAATGCTGATGCACATATCTACATATATGCAAACATTAATTATATATAAGTAAATATATATTCATTTTGTTTTTGCAATGAAATGGCTTCAGGAGTGTTTAATTTTAACTGACATCATTCAAACAGTTACTTTTCATTGTATTATGATATGAATCATATCTTTTTGAAAACTTTTCATTCTATCATTGAAGGAAACAATATTTTCAACATTTTATATGTTTTAATTTTATAAAATGTAAAAATGCAAGTCAAACAAAGAAATATATGGAGCCTATGGAAAAATTCTGCAAATATACATCTCAAAAGTGTTTTTGCAACAAAAGTTCGTACTGAAAATAACTCCACTTTTGAGTTGACCAATTGTCAATAGACAGGGATTACATCATGAGATTATTTAAGAATAATCAACTTTATACAATATGACTGTTCATTAACAATTTCAAAATATCTAAATTAGTTGTTGGAAAAGATTTGCACCAGTTTCATTAGGTTAGCATTTACTTCTAGATAAATGCTAACAAAAAATGCTGGACTCTTATTTGATTTTTAAATGCAACAAATTGTAACAGGTGATGAAGAGTAGATACTTTGCAACAACATAAAATGCAAGAGGTCATGTAGCAGATGAAATGAATGACTATTAATCTTACCAAATGATGGTATTCAGTCAAAGAAGGTGATGTTCTAGATATTGTGACATTGAAAGGGACATCTTGAGAGTGAGTTTTTTCTGGGCAACCAGATGAATGGTGAAAATAAATTTCTCTCAGTTAGACCAATTGAAAGCAGCAATTAACAAAAAGTATTTAGAATTAATTATGAGACAGGAAATAATATCCCATCAGGATGATGCTTAACTAAATGTTTCTTTGGTAACTACAGGGGCATTGAAATGTAACTCCCTATTTTATTTATGAGTGACAGTCAGGAGTTCTGATTTAACACCCTGTGAATTTTTTCTTTGGGGTTGGTTAAAGGAGCAAGTCTATTTACTATACCAAACCAAGACTTTGTAAGAAGTTGAAGGGTGAAAATAAGAAGTTATGTCTTCCATACCGCAAAAGTTTCTGGTGAAATCAGTTGACATGATTTTTGGGTGGCTCAAGAAGCTGGTAGAAAAATCTGGACAAATACTGAATTTTAAATAAAACCTCATGTTAAACAACCTTCCTCTCATATCCATTTCTTGTAAAAATTATAGTTAATAAATAAATTATAATTATTTTGAAATGATGACATACTTTTCAATCAGCCTGTATATAAAAACAGTTGCAGTTTGGCTGGGAAGTTTTCATTCATCTGCAATATTCACCAGTAATTGCAGCTTATATTTACTCTTTATTATTGTATTTATAGAATTATCTCTATAGAAAGACTTTCATATCACTGGGAGACCATAAAAGGAAACTAGAGTAGATCTTCGGTGAGAGAGATAAAATATTATGTGAAAATAGAATTATAAACATGTCTGAAAAATGTCAGATGATGGAATAAAATTTTTTTTTCAAATTAAGTTTGAAAAAAAAATTGCTTTTTATATTACTTAATAAACTGAATAAAAGGTGGGAACAACACAAGTCTAAATATTTCTGAAGGTATATACACATATATATATATATATATGTACACACAAATACACACACACACACACACACACACACACACACACACACACATATATATGTACACACAAATACACACACACACACACACACATACATATATATATATATGTATGAATAAAAAAACAAGAGGAAAACTATTCTTAGCTGGCATGTTTCATCCTCTGAGGGACACATTGCCTTGATAAAGTCCCTCAGAGGACAAAACGCATCAGCTAAGAATAGTTTTTCCTCTTGTCTTTATATTCATTTTCTTCCAGATACACTCTATCTGAAAATAATTTATGATTTTTTTAATCAGTATCACCCCATGCAAGGCAATACAGCCACTAGCATGCAAGAGGTTACAGGGTGTGAAATAATTAGGAAGAGTAACATTAATAATAAGCAGGAATAAGAAAGTGTAATCAGGAAGACAGTAGATAGCAATTTACATTGCATTTGAATTTTTGCAGATTAAAGTTAGCTGGAAAGCATGGAGCTGGAAGGTAGTTCCACAAGTTAGAAGTGCAAGAAAAGAAACTGTTAGCCTAGAAATTATGGCTATATCTAGCCAGCTCAACACTGTGCTTAAAGTCAAAAAGTCTAGGTAACATAGTGAAGAGCTCATCAAAACAATTATCATGAAAGTATTTATAGAAATGACATAGAGAGGCAACCTTATGGTGGTGGGAAAGTGACTGAAGTTGAGCTGTCAGATCAGGACCAATAATATTGCTGATTCTCCTTTGGATTTTATTAAGGAGCTCAAGGCAGGGGCATTGGACCATATGTGGCAGCAATATTCTACACATAGATTAATGGTAGACTTAAAGATATGTAGATTCTGGAGAGAAAATTGTCTTGCATGACACAGTGAACCACCTTTTTATATACATACATACATACATACATACATACATACATGCACACACACACATATATGTGTGTGCATGTGTGTGTGTGTGTGTGTGTGTGTGTAGGCTTATGGCCATATCATGTTGAAACACTAGTTCTCATATGATCATTGAAGTTAAGCAACATCAAGGCTGGTCAGTATCAAGATGGATGACTGTTTGGGAGTATCTGATGCTGCAAGCTTAGTTTTGCAGGGTATAATTGATAATAGCTTGGAATTGGAAAGTGAAGAAGTCAGTACCAATTCCAATCTTGGGAAAGATATGAATCCACCTCCTCTCCCCTTTAGCTATGAGTTATTAGTAGGATTTTTATCAATAAATCATTATTATCTCCCCAAAATATTCTTAATGTAAAAAAATATTTTCTGGCTTCAAATAATCTACAAAAGGTTGATAAATCATAAAAACAAATCAATCAATCATTCAATATATATATATATATATATATATATATATATATATATATATATATATATATATATATATATATATAGTTTATGAAAAACTAGGTAATCTGTATGGGTAAACCCAAGGAGGATAAAATCCAGAGAGCTCAATGTAAATCCAGAGCAAATAATTTAAATAAAAGCAGACCACTTTAAGGTTCCATGTAATAAATTATTTCACGACAGCCCTTTTAAAGGATTATGGATCATCAGACTTTACTTCCAAAGGTTGAAACAAAAAATTAAAAGTTATATATACATATATATATATATATATATATATATATATATATATATATATATATATATATATATATACGTATGTGTGTGTGAAGGAGGAGAAAATATACATTTGTAAACATCTATGCTGAAGATATGACAATATATTGGCCTAACTCTGAATGTCTTGATGATCTGAGATTGGCAGCTGACGTCTTTTTTGATCTAACACCAACTTCCCAGTGGAGGAATAACTGGCTGTTTACATTCAATGCCTTTAAAACTAAATTGATTACATTCTATCACCACCAATCAAACTCTGAACTTATTGCCAGTCATGATGAATGGATGTCCCCTCAAGGAGGTTATATATCTTGAGAGGATATTGGGATTCAAACTCACACCTGACCTCAAATGAAATTCTTATATATGATCCATCATTAAAGATGCAGGTAAAATGAACGGCTCTCTGTACCACTCCAGTAACTCCCTGACTCCTTATGCTATCTTCTACCTTTATAAGAGCCAGATCAGGCCAAAAATGGAGGACTGTTGCTATATTTGGGCAGGAGCTACCCAGACCTCACTTTCCAGTCTTGATAGAATTCAAAAGCATTTCCGAGTTATTGTTGGAGAATAATTAATTTCCAGTCTCCATCCTTTCTCTTACATGTAGGATGTGTCGAGTCTCTCATTACTCTATCTCTACTCCCGTGGAAAGTGCTCAAATGAACTACATCTCCTGATTCCACCATGTCTGACTTTCATGACTACAACCTGCCATACCACTTACATAGTAGGAAACCATTCCCTCCATATTCCATTGGCAAGAAGTAAGTTCCACTTAAAAAGCTTCCTCCCATGAACTACTACAATAAGAAACACCCAGAGAATGTTTTCCCAATTACTACAATCTTAACCTGTTCAAGTCTAGAGTCAACCATTATTTTCCTCACCTATCCATATAAAGTATCCTTTAATATAATCTTCTACCTCAAGTGGCTCCGAGCCTTCTATAAGGTGAAACTTATTGTGAAAAGAAAACAGAAAAAACAATTGATTTTTATTGTTCCCTTTCAAATATATACAAAATACAGTTACATGAGTACATTAAAAAGTAAAGTATGTCTCTCACTCCTTACTGATGTGTGTACCATTACAGAAAAGTCTAATAAGAATTTCTGTAACCATTTACCCTTTTCTATATGTTTGTCTGAGCAGTTACTCAGCATTTTTATATTAAATTTATTCTGTAACAAATGTATTACTTGTTGCACATTGTTGTACAGTATAAGTGTTATCAAGGGCTTTTCAATTTATTCTTCCATTGCAGCAACTAGATTTTTCATAAATAGAGCATTGTCTTCCTTGACAGAAGAACATGAACAATTTTCATGCACTTTAAACTATTCAGTCATATCAGGACTAATGGTGCTTAGAGAAAAAAAAATGTTTTTAATCTTATCTACAAATCCAGAATTGCATTCAGCTTTGTTACCTCAATTCAAATAATAATGCCAAGTAATTCTGTTGATTTAAGATATTATTAAAACTTATAAACTATTAATAAAAAAATCTTTATATAGATTATTTCTTTGTGCAGAATCCTTTCACAGTGTATAGACTATAATGCTCTTCTTCTTCTTCTTCTTCTTCTTCTTCATACACCATATCCCTTTCATGCATAGCTGATCATGGCTCTCCACAATTTCCTGTCCTTTGTAGCCCTTAATAAATTTTGTCTTTTTTTTTTCTCCCAAATGCTGCCCTTTTCAATAACAAATGAAACTATGGAATTGAATTTCTAGTCTAACATTCAACATGCACTACCTTTCTAATTATTTGACTATGTTTACTCATAACAAGAGATATAAGTAGTTTCATGTGTTTACCAAAAACCATTAGGGAAAATGAACAGTAACAGCCAGTGTTTGAACTCACACTAGTTTTTCCATTCCATATGCTGTTAAATGCTGGGCTACCCATAATAACTTTCACATAAGTTATGGTCTGAATTTCAGGAGTAAAATTATTTATTTTGAGTAACAAAAAAAAATTAGTTGATTTCTTTTGTCTGAATTTCATTATTTACATTATTTACATATGGATAATTGTTCTCCTCATCTTTGTTGTTGTTATCACAATGTTTCAGCCATTGTGTCTTCATCAGGAGTATATCAATCCAAGTAACCTACAGTGAATTTTGAACTAAAACCTTTATTTAATCTATGGGTGTAGATTACTCTCATTCCACTGAGCATGTCTTGAGATATCTTGTCTATTTACTACTGGTCAGTCATTGCTTGTCCTATTTCCACAGAATCCAAGTACACAGTGACTGGTCCAGACATTGAATTCACAATTACTATGTCATCAAATTCATGAACCACCACTTTAATCCTCTTGGTCGTTGCCCTGTTAATATCCCTAGACATAGGCAGTGGAACAAGAAAAAAAAACTCCTCCCATAGATTAAATAAAAGATCCAGTTTGAAATTCCCTTGAGGTGACATACACCTGATGAAGGTGACATACACCTGATGAAGATCAGTTGTTTTCTTCTTCTAAATTTTTGCAGTGTTTCCCAATTTGTAATTATGGATTCACATTTGTGAATGTTTTTCCATATCTTTAAAAAACTGAGCTAAAATGCTTTTAAATCTCCCAAAATATACAAATGTATTCTGAATATTAAGTGTAGATATCAGGGTGTGTGCTAACATTCCTTGTTAAGTGTAGAAGATTGATCCCCAGTGGCCAGACAAAATAATTTCTTATTTTCACAAGCAAAATCAAGAAAGTTATGATGATTTTCTGCAAGAAGAATGAATTTTAATTTCAATAATTTTATTCTATCTATTTTCAACCTCACCAAAATTTAATTATAATTAAATCTATTTTTGTATTATTTAACACATTAAACACAGGAGAATCTAATATTTGATACAATTTCATGACTAAAACTATTCAGACATTTGCAAAAAGATGGTTAGTTCTTGCTTGGGTACATTGGCTATTGAATTGATCAGTAGAATTCAAATTCTATTTGTTTGAATTAAAATATGCAACATTTTATTTTATCTTGAGCAAATACCTCAGAAACACCAGATTCTTTGCAGCATTGTTCAAATTAGAAATACCAAATCAAGTTCTTTACTCAAGCTCTATTTTATTAGAGTTTAGTGACCTTCTTTAATAATTGGATTATTTTTCCCTAATTTCAATGAAAAAATTTAATACTACAACTTGTGTTCACAAATTAAAGATATTTTCTCTGTCGTCATAATTTTTAAATCTTCTGATTTGATGGATTGATTTTCATAAAAAGGTTAAGTTTACTTAAAGCAAATTTTATTTTTTAATAAGGAAAAATTGATTTCCTTAGAAACAGTTAATTAAAATCATTTCTTTTTCTTTTTTCAAGATTGAATCTTTTTGAAAATTGATAACATATTCTTCATTCAACAGTAATTCTGATTAAAACTGTTATTAATTCATTGCAATAGAAAGTCTCTGTTGTGAAGCTTGATAACCTTTTTATTCTCCAAGAAGAATTCAATCCATGACTTAAACCCAACATAGAATTTATTATCTTTCTATCGATTTGTCTTATTACAAGAATCTACATCTGCTGCAGGCAATATACAAAGATGTAAAATATTACTGCCTGCCTATGATCTTTAGATTGGCAGTTTATTTCAGGCTCAGTGCCTTATTTGACTATTACATATTACACTTATATGATTATCATAAATTACTGTTAGAGATAATCATTGTCATTGTTATTGTTAGGTGTTATAACCTAGAAATTCATAACAGTTTTGATATTGTTTAGATTGAGAATAAAGCTATGACATTAATAATGAAGGTAGCAACTGTTGTTACTTAGATTGACTAAAGAATGTCTTTGAAGACATTGTTGCTGCTGCTGTTAGCTGATCAAGAGAGCTGACATAAATGATTATAAAAAAAACTTGTACCGCTTACGGCACTCTTAACTCAGAGAATACTACAACAGTTTGTCTAAGTCTTTGTATTTTTAAAGTTTTCTTTACTGCACATACCATGCTCCATTGGCCTCGTCATGTACTCTTGCCTTGTCTATTCAAAGCACCTTTTCAAAGAAATGCTTCATCAACTAACATTTTGTTCAAGGCAAGGAAAACTGAAATCGATTTTGGATCAATTCCGATGTATCTATTACATGCATGTCAGGATGCAACGTACTGTTTTTGAAGTCGTCAAGTATCTATGTTCCTATTTGCTTTACTTGAGTGTTTCTTTTCTGCATTCTCTTTCATTAGTATCAGACTCAGACAAGCTGAAGATCACTCTCCATTTTCCTTTTTGTGTTTACCACTTTACTGACCTTTTCCTAATCAGAACATTGCACGAACACAAAAGTGTCTAAATGTGTGTCCATTTTGTTTGCATTAACCGCCTCAAAAATCTATTCATCCTAAGAGATGATATAGCAACTGGCAGAGTACTTACCATTCTCTGACAGGATATCAT